ACTAACGATACAAAATAGTTTCCCAAAAGTCTGTCTAGATCTAGATAGATGTCTGTCTATTCAGTATACTGAAGGAAAAAGGAGGCAACACTGTCAACTGACAGAGCTATGTAGCTTTTTAAAGGGTTTTATTTGGGGACAGCTTGAAGATTTGTATACACTTGTCTACTTCTGCTACAGGTTGAGGGTTAAAGAGTAGGAGACACATCAAGGGCACATGATGAATTTTATACATTTATTAAAATTTTAAAAAGATATATTGATATAGAGACTAAAAAAAAATAAGAATAATGAAGAATAAAGCAAAGTCTAGCATCTGATATCTACAGTATCCTAGAAATATCTTGCCTAATCTAGGTCAAGGGTAATAAACAATCAGGTACCCCCTCAACTGACAGTGTTAGCTCTGGACACCCCCTTTTATACCTTTCATTCTTAACTGCTATATATACAATCACTATACTTGCCTTACATAGAGCTCTAGATCCTCTCCCCACCCCTTCAAAGCAACAACAAAAAAAAATGTTCCGCTAATTTTTTCAACTTCTGTTCTTAGCTTACTAGCAATCATGTCAGTAGGTTGCCATACCATCTTTCAGTTCATTTTACCATTTAAGAAACTCCAACCAGGTTTACTGTACAAGTGTGTCCATTTATTTGTTACTTAAAGCCATTTATTAAAAGGGGGGAAAAAAAGCACATGACTAAGTTAATGTTTCATTCGTTTGTTTAAAGCTTACACAGACTTTGTGGCCTTCTTACATATACAATATATTAAGAAAGCAACAAAAAGTGAAAGGAAAGAAACAGTGAAACAGAGAAAAAAAACGTGAATTACACAAAGTCTACTTGAAAAAATCAATGTTTAATAAAACCATCTATTTTAAGAGGAAAAGAATCATGGTAGAAAACATTTAAGAGCAAGAACACTAAGCAGACCATCTGGAAGATGGCACTGAGTATACCCTCAGCAAGTCTGCAAATGACCCCAAGCTGAGGGGAGCACTAGATACAATGAGGATAGGGCTAGGATTCAGAGTGACCTAAACAAATTTGAGGACTGGGCCAAAAGAAATTTCATGAGGTCCAGCAAGACAAGTGCAAAGTCCTTCACTTAGGACAGAACAATCCCAAGCACCAGTACAGGCTGTGGGCTGACTGGCTAGGCAGCAACTCCGCAAAAAGGGACCTGGGGGCTACAGTGGACAATAAGCTGAATATGAGCCAACAGCATGCCCTTGTTGCCAAAAAGGCTAGCGACATACTGGTCTGCATCAGTAGGAGTTGTCAGCAAGTCAAAGAAAGTGATTAATCCCCTCTATTCAATGCTGGTGAGGCCACATCTGGAGTACTCTACCCAGTTTTGCCCCCCCCTCCCCTCCACTACACAAAGGATGTGGACAAATTGGAGACAGTATAACGGAGGGCAACAACAATGGCGAGGGGGCTGGGGCACATGACTTATGAGGACAGGCTGAGGGAACTGGGTTCATTTAGTCTAGAAAAGAGGAGACTGAGAGGGGATTTAATAGCAGCCTTCAACTACCTGAAGGGGGGTATGAAAGAGGATGAAGCTCCACTGTTCTCAGTGGCAGCAGATGACAGAACAAACAGCAACAGTCTCAAGTTGCAGCAAGGCAAGTTTAGGTTAGCTATTAAGAAAAATTCTCACTAGAAGGGTGGTAAAACACTGTAACAGGTTACTCAGAGAGGTGGTGAAATCTCCATCCTTGGAGATTTTTAAGACCCAGGTAGACAGTTTTGGTTGGGATGATCTAGTTTGGAATGGTCCTGCCTTGAACAGGGGCTTGGACTAGATCACCTCCTGAGGTCCCTTTTAACCCTAACTTTCTATGATTCTATGAGGTCTGTAGGCGGAATGGCTATTTTAACAAGAGATCAAATAGCTACCTGAGCCTAGCAGCCCATTAAGCTAGTGCAGTCTAGGTATGGCAACTTATTTCTGCAACTAACAGCACAAAAAGGAGGTAGGCACTTTGCCTCTTCAATCTAAAATGACCGACTGACACCAATTTATAGACAGGAAAAATAAAGGTAAGGACATAGAAAGATTAAATATTTTGGGGAACATATATGCAAAGGTTGAATCTTCAGGTTAATATTAAACTAAATTTCTAGTGCCAATTCATTTTTACAGACTTCCAAGCAAGCATACCTTTCTTCCCTTGCTTCAGGGCTATTCTGTGATGAAGACGCAGGCTCTTTTTTCTTTTCTTCAGAATCTTTATCAGTTGAAGGTCCATCTGGAAATATACATATCATTAAAAACCAGCAACAAAACAGTGCTTCTTTTAGAACAGAATTAGCAGGGGACTACATCTAACCCTTACCAGTTTTATATAGTTTATTTCACTGCAGTTAGACAAGTTCAGCCTGTCAGTTGATTGGTGGGATGGGGAGGAAGGGGAGTGCTGCAGAGGGGCAGCAGTCTCCCAGACAGAAACGCTCCAGGGTCCGTCTCTGACAGCTGCTTTTTCAGCAGCTGCCAGCTGCTGCCCCATTTCCAGGCACAGAAGAAGGCTGGCCATTAAGTAATGAACTACCCTAAGGGTAGGGAAGAGGAATGCGGGAGGCAGGGGGAAGAAAGGAGCAGCCCTCAAGTGCTGGCCCATGAAGCTCTCCAGACATGGGGCTGGAGGAATGAATGTCTGTATGGTCCAGCTCCCAGGCTACTTTCCTCCAGGAAGAAATTTCTACTGGTACAAATGAATGTCTATATGCAGCCCAACAAACTGTTTTGAAGTTGCACATTTTCAGTTAACTTTTCCTATCAATAATATCTTCCTAACAAAGGTGGTGTGCAATCAGCAGTAAGAATAAAAAACTCTTTAAAGATTCATTACCAATGCAAACTCATGTTTCCCCCTATTTGTAAAATTAAATATATATTAAAAAACACCAAAGAGCTTGTAAATGAAGAAGTGGGGGAGGCAAGGGGAAGAGAGATACCAAGGAAACAGCCCTAGAACAAAATTCTAAATTGGGTATCTGAATGTAGGCACCTCAATCCCTTTTTGAGTGCCCCCCCCCCCTCAAAAGGGGAGGGGAATCCTAAAAAAAGAAGAATTTTCAGAAAGGTGGAGTACCCACAACTCCCACAAGTACGCCTCTTATTCCAGCATCCAAACTTAATAATCAGTGTTATAAGTAGAAGAGCAGTGTTCTATTTTTTTAAGACATATACAGTTAACTTTATAGAAACAAGGAAATAAATGTAAAGAATCAAGAGACTTAAATATTTAGCCAATCAAAAAAAAAGTAGTTAAAACACACCAACCTGAATAAAGGCAAGAGAATGGAAACAATTATTCAAATGCCATAGATGCAACATTCGAGTTGATGACATTTAACAACATAAAGGTGTTAAAAAAAAACAAACCTCAGGACTAAGACCATCAACATATCTTTATACTTAACATATGACAAAAAGAAAGCCAAGAAAATTGGCAAATGTATTGCACTGTTAAAGTAATTCCCATTTTTCTACATTATGCTGAATTCTTAATTAAAAGGAAGGGATGCAGAAAAAACTCACTTTCCATAATGATGCATAAGATTTATAAGCAGCCAAGTAAATGCCAAGAAAGTTTGTGATAAACACCAAACCAGAACAGCTAGAAGGAAAAAAATACCTGTTCTATTGGAGAAATCTATGAATGTGGACCTAGCAAAAACTTGTATTTACTTGAATCTAAGACCGTCCTGAATTTAAAATGACACTCTCCCCACCCCCCCAGTAAGATCCTATATGTGGAAAAAAAATGTATGAATTAGTTATCATTTTCCTAACTTTGGGGAGGCTCATCTTTAATTCTTTGCCCCCACTGGTGCAAGGGGGCAAATGGTGTTAGGAGGGTCAAGCAGCTTCTACCTGTTCTGCAGCCTCTGCTCCCCATGCCAGCAGGCTCTGTCCCCATTATAGCCTGAGGCACTGAGCATGGCCCATGCCCAGAGCATGGGCTGCTCCAGAGCAGCCACGTGTAGAAAAGGAAGTTCAGGGGGGAGGGGGAGAGGGGCAAGTGGGAAAGCAAACGCTATGTGGCAGGTGGAAGGAGGCAGGGTCCAGAGGCATCAGGGGGGTGCAGGGAGCAGCTGCAACTATGACCCCGACCCTGGGTAGGGACTGGAGCCCAAGTCACAGTAGCTGTCTGCTCCCCCACTGCCCTCATACTTGATTCTAAGAGGGCCCCCCAAATCCTCGTTTCGGAATCAAGTAAATATGGTAATTTAGATAGCATGAAACATCTAAATAGCAAGTGAGGAATTTGAAAAACTAGGCGAATTATGTTGGAAGCACTCTCTCTTTACATGAAATATGACACTAAAATTTCTGACTCGTGTGAACCCCGGTTATTCCACTGACCGAGACAGTAATACCAAAGCTGGAAAATCTGGGAAAATTCCTTGTTTAATGATCTCTGTGGAGTAAACAAATTTTAGACGATTTGAAAAAGAAGGGTTACATTTTAGGAGCAGCCTAACCCTGAGAATAAAGGTTTAAAAATCCCAAGAATAAACTACATTTTAGTTTCAACTTCTTCACACCTCAACAGGTTCCAATACAGAAGAAAACAGAACTGATAACAACAACTAGAGCAAAAACTAAAAGAGAGTAAATTTTACTTTCAGCTTCCCCTTCCCCCACCCTGCCTCCAAGAGGAAGACATTTCTATGAAGCCAATTATATTCATTATGAGACAAGGAAAAAAAGAAAATTAAGTCAGGCAATACAGACAAGCCACTCAACAAGTGAAATATTTCAGACCATTATAAGACAGTTTTAAAGAGATGCAACATCTGTATTCTTTTAAACGTTATTACTGTTAAAGCTGCTAGGAATATTTTTGCAAAACAAATATTCAGGTCACCTTTAGAAATTAGAATGAAAGCACCTAGAAGGGCTGCAAACTTCTCTTAGTACTTAAGCCATTAAATATATTCTTCAAAAACAAAACTGTTCACTTTTTAAAGTGTCATAAAAACAAGATTAAGCATGCATCTCTGACAAACATATTTATGCAAATCATCTCATCCAAAAATCAGGATGGAAACTAGTTGTACTTCACCTATCAAACAACAAGGTATTTACTGAAATGCATGGGAATAAAATTATTAGCGTAACGAGCCACTAACTATTTCAGAATCGTTCAATTGTTAAAAGCCCTGGAACTTGCTTTTAAATGGGAAGTCCTTTCTAATTTTAACCAAGGAAAGGATCAGCACTGATATACCAGTATTCATTAATTCAATATCAAATTCAGAATGATTAATATCTAATAGTGTGTCTGGTCTTGATCAGTAGCTTCATTACAGGCTTTTCCCATTACAACCACGTAAAAAGAAAAAAAAAAAATCTCAAGGCACTTGTTTGTTGACAACTAAAAATAGTTGTTTAGAAACCATGACAAATTCCCCAAGAAGCACTAACAGCTTTGTGTTGTGAATATCATATTAACAATTTAAGTATAATACCACTTTTTTTCTATTTACCACCAGGCTGGGCACATTTTTTGAACAAGCTGGTGAAACAAGGTGCACGGGGGTGGGGGGGCAAGATCTAACAAGAAAACTAGAGTGGTTGCAAATTTAATACTTCAATCCATGTTTTATTATTTCACCTAACACCTTAATTTTCCAAGTACTAACAAGCAATGATCTTAAAAGATAAAGACAAGTTATTCCATTTGTCAACAGCTCATATTCACAGAGAAAAGATGCCGTACTGACAACTCTGCAACTCCTGACTATAAAGGCTGGGAAACTTCCCAGAGAACATAGTTCTTAGTGATGGGAAATTAAGAAGGAGACTCAGCTTGGTAGAGCTTACAGCAAGGATTCCTTATAAATGGCAAACCATAAGAGATGCTTCGACACAATATAGAGGGAAGCCTTTTGCATCATACCCAATACATCCTCTACCCTTCCAATGCAGAGGTACTCTCTTCCTATAAACAGTTTTAGTACTTCTTTGGGAATCTAGGCCACGTTATGAAAAAATCTTCTTTCTACTTACAGCCTTTTGAATTTAAAGTAAGTATAAGGATAGTGTAAAAAGAGTACTGTCAAAAGTACTGGAAAAAACAAGCAACTTGAGCCATTCAAACGGGTTCTGCCTGCCAAGATGAAATATTATATGGGGATTAAAAGACTTTTGGGAAACTATTTTGTATTGTTAGTCTTTATACTAGTTAATATTTATTGCAGATGCAGATACCAGTATCCTTAGTTGTAAGTAACTTCCTCAATAGTAAGGAGTTGAGGAACTAGAATTTATTACCACAACGTTTAGGGGTTTTTGGGGGGGGCGGGGACAGTGGTAACCAGTTGATAGAGAAAAACTGATAAGTACCCTAAACGTGAGTTTATCTGGTCCAAAACAAAGTACAGTGAGACTCCTGTGTGTGGAATACCTCTGCATAACACTTAAAGTGCAATGTGGTTAGTATTATGACTTTCTATTTACAAATTTTAAGTGTGATAAAGTATTCTTTCTTAGGCAGCTAATTGCTAGTTCATAAGCCTCTAAGCTTTTGTATTGGGTTCATTTAAGAGAATTGTGTATTTAATATTAAAACATCCTGGGTAAAAACATATGGCAGTATCTCTTATTATCCAAAAACACGCACATCTAACCCAGTACTTAAAGTGCCTAGAAGTGTTTATTGAAGAGTTCTAGTGTTCTTTTCTAGTTATACACCACCAGACTCAAAAATCCTTTACACCTTCTGGATAAAAAAAAAAAAAAGCACAGTCTCAAAACCTAACCCTGGTATTTGCAGATGATGATCCTCTATAGACTGACTTAAACGATAAGCAGTATAATACACCAACGAAGCTGCCCCTACTTGCAATTTTGAAGACTCATTGAACAGCTGAAAGATGTTTTTTATGGCCCCCAGTTCTGAAGTTTGTAGCTAGGGACAGACATTACACAGACACCGGTTTAAGTGGTCAGAAATTGGTTAAAACCTGTAGCAGAACAGATGTCCAGTACACATAAACCAGTTTGAAAATGGCTGAAACCGGTTTGTGATAAACCTGGTTGCATGTAGCATCAGACATAACTGATTGGGCTCAAACCGTTTTATTCAATGTCTGTCTAGGACCCCTTGCTGGTTTAAGATAAACCAGACTCCCCCAGCATCCAAGCATGCTTTCCGAGCTGGGTGGGGCTCTCTGCTCCACAGCAGGGCTGCCCCTCCCCTTTGCTCCCTTCCTGGATCTGCAGCAGACTGCACCCACA